CGCCGTTTCCAGCTGACCCACTCCCCTCTTTTGCAAGCCACAAAGTAGCGCTTGCAGAGGGGGAATTTTTGTTTTGTGTGCGCTTCATCTTCATGAACAGGACATACAGCTTTTCCGTAACCCATTTTCTATTGACATTGAAAATGTGGATACAATTTACCAAATGGAACTGGCTGAACTGCAGAATTGTGACTCTCTGAAAGAAGCATTCAAGTCAAGCAGCCTTTCTAATTTCTATGCATTTCTCCCCTCTGAGACATATCCTAATCTCAGGAACCATGCACTCAAAATGGCAACCATCTTTGGAAGCACTTATGTCTGTGAACAGACTTTTTCCAATATGAAACATCTGAAATCTCCAACCAGATCTAGACTAACTAGACTAACTGGTGCACACTTGCTACGACTAGCAGTGACAAATATGGAACCGGACATTGACCAAAAGCAGGCCCATAGTTCCCATTGAAATACTGGTAAATTTGTTGATTTAACTTTACTTGTTCTTCATTTTAAATATTGTATTTGTTCCCGTTTTGTTTTTTTTTACTTCAAAATAAGATATGTGTAGTGTGCATAGGAATTAAGTAGATAAAGTACAATTTAGTTTCGGAGTACAGCTGTGTCGGTCTGCAGTAGAGCAGGCGGGGTCCAGTTAGCACCTTAGAGAGACCAACAAGATGTCAAGTTCCCATCATCAACAGGTTCAAAAATTCATCGGGGCTTTAGTCCTAGACAATATCCCAGGACCGCAGTATTTTATGCACGATGCAGTCCTGGGCGCACTTCCCTGGGACTCAACAACCCCATTGAACAAAAAGGGGATAAATCGTTTCTGAGCGGCCGTACAATCGAAGCCCTCCCGAACGGAGGCGGAGACCGGGCGGCTTCATTCGGCGCCACGGCGCACGCCCGTGCGCGGGACCGAAGTGAGGGCGAGCAGGGGGGCTTCACCCGCGGCGACCGCGCATGCTCCGAGGGAATGGCGCATGCTCCGTCGCGCTCGGCGGCGGTGGGGGAAGCGGCTCGCGGCGCGAGTGCGGCCGCCGCACCGGCTACCCGGCGGGGCGAGATGACGTCACAGCGGCGGGACGCACGCAGGCGGAACGGCGCGGCGAGGAGGAGAGGGTGAGAGCCGGAGGCCTCGGGCGCCGCGCGGGAGGCAGGAGGGGGGCGGAGGAGGAGGAGGGCCCGCGGGGATCAAGATGGCGGCGGGCCGGCTGCACCGGCCGGCTCCCTCCTCTCTGCCGCCGTCGCTGCTTGTCCCTCTCCAGGGCAACCCGGGCAGGGCCTCCCCTGGGCCGGCCCCCGCGGATTCAGGCCGGGAGCGCGCCGGCGAGAGCGCCCGCGGAGGCGCCCTCAGTGTCTCGTCCCGGCGCCCGAGTGAGGAGAGAGCCTCACAGCGGGGAGCACCACCCGCTCCTGGCCCGTGAAGGGGATTCACACGCCACGCCTCAAAAGCCACTCCCCCCTCCCCGTTCAGTTAGAAGAAGAAGAAGAGATTGGATTTGTACCCCGCCCTTCACTTGGAGTCTCAGAGTGGCTTCCAAACTCCTTCCCCTTCCCCTCCCCACAACAGACACCCTGTGAGGTGGGTGGGGCTGAGAGAACTCTGACACAAACTGTTC